TTATAATATATAAAATTTAATAAAAATTATTATGAATACATAAAATCTCTCCATCTAAAAAATCTCTTTTAAAATGAAAAAAATTATCATTAAAATCCTTCAATCGGAGAGAATATTTCCTGTGCATTAGGTTACTTCAATTAGCTGACAAATTGTTTATTGCTCTGCATTGGAAACATATTATGAAAACAGACTGAACACTCACATATACAGGAGCGTCGGTCTTCATGGAGACGATACCCGCGTCTACAGAAACACTGGAAGGAGCCGGCGTTATTCTGACACGTGTGATCACATCCTCCGTTAGCAGCCAAACACTCATCTATATCTGTGATCAGACCATTCAGTCAACATATGTCTGATATTTACACACTTTAAGCACTGAAATCACTGTAAATGGTACCGTCACAGCTGCATCCATCAGCGTTCAGACGATATCCGGCTGTACAGTAACACTCATAACCTCCAGGATAGTTTGTGCAGTCGTGCTCACAACACGAGCTGCCGTCGGCACACTCGTTTATATCTGACGGACAGAACACACACCTTTACCTTACAGGAGGACCATGCTTGTGCAGTAAGACGGGTAACGTACCGATGCAGGTCTTGTGGTCGTCGTCCAGATGATGTCCTTGGTTACAGCCGCACACGGGTCCAGTGGATGAATGTTCACAGTGATGAGAACAACCACCGTTATTATGATCACAGCTGTTTATGATCTCCATCTCGATCCCTAGATTCAGACACACGTTTAAAGGCATGTTTAATTCACATATATATATATATATATATATATATATATATATACTGTATATACACAGGTGAAACTCGAAAAATTTGAATATTGTGCAAAAGTTCATTTATTTCAATAATTCAATTTAAAAGGTGAAACTAATATATTATATAGACTCATTACATGCAAAGTGAGATATTTCAACCCTTTATTTGTTATAATTTTGATGATTATGAAAATTCCAAAAGATTTTCATAAGCTGCAAGCCATAATCATCAAAATTATAACAAATAAAGGCTTGAAATATCTCACTTTGCATGTAATGAGTCTATATAATATAGAGTTAGTTTCATCTTTTAATTTGAATTCCTGAAATAAATGAACTTTTGCACGATATTCAAATTTGAGTTTCACCTGTATATGAAGTAAATAAATAAAATAGCACATATTATATATAGGGCTGTGCAAAAATTAATTGCAATTAATCGCATCCAAAATAAAAGTCTGTGTTTACATAATATATGTGTGTGTGCTGTGTATAATTATTTTGTATATATAAATACCTATGCAAGCATGTATAGATTTATGAATTATTTGCGCTTAAATTCTGTATATATATGAAGAGTTCAGATGCAAAAGCCTCTAAGTGCCATTTGAAATTTTCTTCTAGAATGATCATTTTTATCAAGCTTGTATATTTAAGTTCAGTAATTTCACTTCAATTGCAATGAGGATTACCTATTAATTGTCATTTAAGTGAAATTACAGAACTTGAATATATAAGCTTGATAAAAATGACCATTTTAGAAGAAAATTTCAAATGGCACTTAGAGGCTTTTGCATCTGAACTCTTCATATATAAATACATAATCTATATTATATAAATATAAATATTTTATATATGAATAACATATTTTCTTTAAATATATACATGCATGTGTGTGTATTTATATATACAAAATAATTATATACAGCACACACAAATACAGTATATTATGTAAACAGACTTTTATTTTGGATGCGATTAATCGCAATTAATTTTTGCACAGCCCTAATTATATATATATATATATATTTTAACTATCATATATACTAAACATATTATATAAATAAAAAATGAGCATATAAATAATGAGATAAATAAAAATATTTAATAGGAATAATGAATTTTTTCTCTGCCATTTGCATCCGATGTCTATCCGATTATGTATATTTCATACATATTCTCTATGCTGTTTTGAGCCATTCTCTATTCTATTCTATTCTATTCATTAAAGAGTCGATCGCATCTGAATGAGGCTACAGAGAGAAACAAGTGATTTGATGGACTTTTTCTCATGTTTACCACACATGTGAGAGATGTTGTGTGTTGCGAATCTTTATAAGAAAGAATTACATCAAAGAATGAGAGAATGAGGCTACAGAGAGAAACAAATGGTTTGATGGACCTGTTTTCTGACAGATCATACTCACGATAACAATGCTTGCCATCCACACCCAGCTCATAGGCAGCGGGACAAACACACACAAAAGATCCTATAGTGTTACGGCATCCATGAGCGCAGTCCGCCTGGCCCGTCTGGCACTCGTCGATGTCTGACGCACAGAAAACACAGGCATGATGACGTGAATGTGACCAATGTAACAGTAATGTCACATCATCTTTCTGTTCTATAAGCATGTGACATAAACTCTTCAATCGTCTAAGTCACCTTCACAGGTCTTGGCATCTTCAGCCAGCTGATAACCCGGACGACATCCACAGCGGGCCTGATCTCCATCCCTGAGGCACTCCTGAGAACAGCCACCGTTACGCTCGGCACACGGGTTCACCACTGAAGACAGGAGCAGATCGGGTCACAGATATTACTATCCAGACAGTTATTAGGCTATTAGTGAGACAATCTCACAGAATCTGTCATATTTCACCCCGAAATTAAAAAAGACGAATTAACCCTAAAACCGTATTCTGGACAAATGTGGGCAAAATAGTTTTGATTTATTTAAAAATATATATACTTCCCTTGATCTGAGCGGTACAAGACTTTTTCCTCCTGAACACAAACACTTTTTTTGCACTCAATTCTACAATGTTAAGTGGGTGGAAAAAAACTCCTCAATCTTGTATTTGGGTCAAAAATGGGCACCCATAGAAATGAATGGGAAAAACTGTAAATTAGAGCATCCTAAAATAAGCCAAAATAAGACACCAGGTGACACCACTTCATCTTTAGGTTTTAGCTCTAAGAACTGGAATGATATTTTAATGTAGTTAAAAAAATAAAAAACATAAAAATAAGCATAATTTACATGGAAAATATGGTACTTTTTGAAGTAAATAAATTCAAAAATACCCCCAAAATAAAAAAAAACACCATAAACGGATAGACAAAACGTTATCGAAGAGAGTGATATAACATTTATAGTAAATAAAAATTAGGATCACACCTGAGTCCTCTGTGCCCACATTTGTCCAAAATTACAGGATTAAGGGCTATAAAGTGAATACGGTTTGAGGGCTACGGCAAGACACAATCAACTAATAGATTTAATAAATACTGAAAAAAACTGATTTAAGAATTGCACACATTTTTTGTATTACAAGTTTTGTAAAAATATAGTTTAAATGTGCAAATGAGGTATTTTGTAATTAAATGTGCATGCATTTTTAAATTTGCATAATTCTAAGCACAAAAATAAAAATACTGGATGAAGCCAAAATTAAATTCTTGTTTCATTTTGTTGACATAATGTATTAGAGATACAGGTTTTCACCGAGAGGATTTTTGACATCTCTTTGTATCCCTCTATAACTCCATAAAAACTCCAAAAATATATTTTCAATAAAATGTTATATAAAATAAGACGAATGTTGCATGAACAAACCTCTCTGTAAAACAAATAAATAAAAAAAGGAATAAAAGTGTAATGTTTGGTGTATCTAAGAGTGGGAGAAAAAACATCATATTGAGCAACGGCCTTTAAAAATATGTATTATAATTGAAATGATGCAATAAAATAAACACACTTTTGCAATTTTGAATGTTTACATTCCACGAGTCTGAAACTACACATTATGAAAAGCCAAAAAGCCCCAAATCTCAAAACTGACCAGTGGTTTTGCTTGTAATATCTTGCCTTAAAAAATGATATTTGTCATAAATCTAGAGTACTTTTTTATATATATATATATATCCATTGAGCCATTATTTTAAAGACAATTAAACACAATTGTACTTATTTACATTTCATTTTAACAAGTATTTATGCATCATGGTAGTAGGACTTATTGGTTGCACTCGCTGATTTAGTGAGAATATGAGAAGAAAATATGACTTTTAATTGTCATAAAAATGATCATTAACTTTTTAAGGTGAAATGTTGTATCATTTATCACATGTGTACATCCATATCTCTCACACACTCAGTGTATCTATCCTTCCAACAGCTGCAGTGAAGCGATCTGTCCACAGCCAACAATTACACTTTTACAGAAACAGAACGGCAGAAATTATTCTGCAATCATGATCCTTCATCAGAGCAAGACCCGTCTGTGTTCAACTTCAGATGACCTCAGAGACGGGCTGAGAACGAGACACACAGACATGCAGTCCGTGCTGAAGTCACCAGTTTGTGATATTATGTCATCAGTGAATCGAAGGGCGACTTGATCCCAACGAACGAAATCATATTTAACTAAATCTCTTCGAGCAGTTCTTGTGATTCTTGGGGAACTTCAAAGGATGAGACTGAGTATAAAACAATAAAACATTGAAAAGATTGTTTTAAATGACCTGCACAGTTACACCTCAGGCTCATTCTCTGTCTTTAAAGACACTGATCGGTATTTCAGGCATCTGGGAATATGGTGTTTAACAAAAGCTTCAACCTACACTGTGACCTGTCAATCAAGCTTCAGAGAGACGACGCATTCATATCGGATCGCTTAAAACTATTAAAACAAACTCTTGTCTTCATTTATATTGATATAAACCTTACTTTCTTCATGCAGAATGTCAAAAGGACAAAAAACCTGGGCCCTAAAAGTATTCCATATGATTTTTGCGCTAATGATAACTTGGTTTTTGGCCAAATGAAAAAGCACAAAAATCCCTCCAATTCAATTAATGGGGTTTGGCATCAGTGATGTTAAACTTGAAGCATTTTTTATGAGTAAGAACTTTAATTTTGGTCATTAAAAGCTAAAGCATGGCTTCCCAAAACTTTTTGTTACTACTTTTATGGTGTTTTTTGTCCATTTTGGAGCTTCACAACCCTTAGTCACTATATTCATGTTACATGGAAAGAGATGCATGAAAACTTGAACTTCTACTTTTGAGTTCCACAGAAAAAAAAAAACACATTGTAAAATGAAAAATAAATGTGTTTTAAAAGAATACACGTTATTTTGTTTTTGTAACGGAGACTATAATAACTATAATTCTCTAATAACAAAATACCAATTGGCACGTTTTCATGTCTCATTTGATTGTAACATATTCAGTCAGTCTTTGCATTTCACTTTCGCTTAAATCCCACTGTCAACAAGAGCTGTAAAACTGTGATCGTAAATATGTCCTCGAGGTCCGAAATCAACATTTTTTATGAGTAAGAACTTTAATTTTGGTCATTAAAAGCTAAAGCATGGCTTCCCAAAACTTTTTGTTACTACTTTTATGGTGTTTTTTGTCCATTTTGGAGCTTCACAACCCTTAGTCACTATATTCATTAGCATGAAAACTTGAACTGATGAATATGACAAATAAATACATTTTAAAAGAATACAATATATATTTTAATATCTTATAAATACAATATCTTATTCTTCTTTTTTTTCAAAGCAGAAGAGAATAAAGATGGCCTCTGCTGTCTTCTCATGCTCAGCAGATTTTTTATATTATTTTTTGTAACGGAGATTATAATAACTATAATTCTCTAATAACAAAATACCAATTGGCACGTTTTCATGTCTCATTTGATTGCAACATATTCAGTCAGTCTTTGCATTTCACTTTCGCTTAAATCCCACTGTCAACAAGAGCTGTAAGATCGTAAATGTGTCCTCGAGGTCAGAAATCTGCAACGCTCATGGGAAGTCCATCATCAGTGTGGTCAGACTCACATTTGCAGTGTTTCCCGTCCTCGTGAAATCTGTGACCGGGTCGACAGCGGCACTGGACGCGACCCGCCGACTGCTGGACGCAGAGATGCTCACAGCCACCGTTCCTCACACTGCAGGAGAGGACAGCTGAAATCACACACACACACACACACACACACACACAGAGAAGAACGCTTTGACAACACTGGGCTGATATTGTTCAACATGAAGATCAAACGAGTCATAGTAAACGAGACTCTTCGGTGAGTGTTTCGGTGTCCCGTCAGCAGGACTCTCTCAGTCCCAGATTCAACTCTGAACTCAAACAACATTAATAACCGAACCAACTAAAACATGAATGAAGGAACTCATTGAAAATCACTTTAAACTTAAGCGGATATTAGGATCATTCTCTATACAGCAGACAGATTTATTTTGTGCATAATCATATTCACTGTTTTCTTCCTCTGTCCTCTGATTATCTTTAGAGGAGGACTACGCTGTAAAATACTTTATGACAGTGTCAGGTACATTACAATGTTTTTCACACGCTAACTTCTAAATTAACTTGTTTTATTTAAGTTAAATAAATTATTTAAAGGAAAAATTGACAGATTTTTTTGTAAATATGATGTCATTTACCCTCATGATGTTTATTTTAAATATTTCTACAATAGACAGACAGACAGACAAACAAACAATAGATATAAAGAATGACAGATGGACAGACAGACAGACAGACAGACAGACAGACAGACAGACAGATAGATAGATAGATAGATAGATAGATAGATAGATAGATAGATAGATAGATAGATAGATAGATAGATAGATAGATAGATAGATAGATAGATAGATAGATAGATAGATAGATAGATAGATAGATAGATAGATAGATAGATAGATAGATAGATAGGTACTGTAGATAGATAGATAGATAGATAGATAGATAGATAGATAGATAGATAGATAGATAGATAGATAGATAGATAGATAGATAGATAGATAGATAGATAGGTACAGTAGATAGATAGATAGATAGATAGATAGATAGATAGATAGATAGATAGATAGATAGATAGATAGATAGATAGATAGATAGATAGATAGATAGATAGATAGATAGATAGATAGATAGATAGATAGATAGATAGATAGATAGGTACAGTAGATAGATAGGTACAGTAGATAGATAGATAGATAGATAGATAGATAGATAGATAGATAGATAGATAGATGATAGATAGATAGATAGATAGATAGATAGATAGATAGATAGATAGATAGATAGATAGATAGATAGATAGATAGATAGATAGATAGATAGATAGATAGATAGATAGGTACAGTAGATAGATAGGTACAGTAGATAGATAGATAGATAGATAGATAGATAGATAGATAGATAGATAGATAGATAGATGATAGATAGATGATAGATAGATAGATAGATAGATAGATAGATAGATAGATAGATAGATAGATAGATAGATAGATAGATAGATAGATAGATAGATAGATAGATAGAAAAAAAAGTCTTCATTTCCTTTAATCCAAATATAAAAATGTTGTGTGTGTGTGTGTGTGTGTGTTTTACAGATGCAGGTGCGTCCGTCCACATGCAGTCGAGATCCAGCGTTACACTGGCAGTGATACGAGCCCCTGGTGTTCACACACACGTGCTGACAGCCACCGTTATGCACCTGGCATTCATCAACATCTGCCGGGAACACATAAACACACAATTCAATACAGTGTTATGAAACATTCATCAGATTCAGGTCAGCTCCGGTACAGTACAGCTTTAATACACCTTGAATGTACGAACACAACAGCAGTTGGTCTGCCGTCTGACATCATGAGTAAATAAATATCCAAACTCCTTCTCTATACACTCAAACAAACAAAGAGAAGTGGCCATTTGTTTCATATGCTCGTCATGAAGATTTAGAGCCAACTACAAGAAAGAGAAAACAAGTACATTCACGGTTCACTGAAATGTAGGTTCTCAAACGGTTTCGTGGTTTAGAAAGCTGAGCGGCCCACAGAGATCAGAGCTAACAGAGTCACGGCCGGTTGAGAAACACACTGTTACTGCTCTGAGATCAGCTTTCACACACACACACACACACACGCTTCACTGCCACAGCTACTAGTGGCTTTCCCATGGCGCTTGCAAGGGAAATTGGTCATTTGTGTGCGTGTGTGTGTGTGTGTGTTTATTTCAATAAATCAGTTCAAAAGAAATAAAAGCATATTAAATCTTTACTGTCGTATATGACAAAAAATAATTCATTAGGTGCTGTGATTCATCACTGTGATTTTACTCAGTTATATACTGTAATTTTATTCATTGTATTTAATGCAAATTTATGTGTTGACATCCGAATTGTAAACTTACTATATTTACATACATATATTTAATATAATGTATAAATATTTGCAATAAAGCTACTCATAACTGAAAGTATTTGTGTGTGTGTGTGTGGATTGTGTTTGAGAAATTAGCTTCTCTGAAGTTTCTAGAACAGTTCTAGAAATACATTTTTATGTCACATTTGATGCTTGATTGAAAGTAAACAAATATGAAATCCAAATACAACCGGTCGACTTTTGTGGATTTGACCATAAAGTCGACTGAGCATCAAGGCGAGTGCGGAGCGGATTGGCAGGGTCTCCTCTCCTGCTAAGAAGAAAAATCCGAAAAATTCACAACTGTCTAGATCCATATGATTGCACAGCGGGTCTCTACACTGCTTTCTCTGCAAACAAAACCTGAGAGACGCCGCCAGCACAAGCGCCGCGGACTCCAAGAAGAACAAATCAGATTCGTGTTAGAGTGACCTTTGACCTCTAATAAAATAATGAGCAGCTTTGTGTTACTGTCACCTCATGACATCATCACTGCAGGAGATGTTTTCATTGGCCAGTTTTCCATTAATAGCAGCAATCCCGTAATAGAAGCCAAATACACAATTTTCCTTTAGAAAGATCCGTGTGTGAGTTTAATCCAAATCAAGGTTGGGCAAATCTACTCTAGTTGAAGTTTGACTATAAAGAAATCTCTTGATGCACAGCTGAGCTCAATGTTGTCTCCCATGGCACTATGGGATAGCTGGCACTAAACTCATCTGGTAATGGGAACCAGTCGGTTGTTCAACTACATAAAATCTTAATTACAGACTGAGACGCCAAGAAGCCAAAATAATCACAGGCTTGTCCTGCAAAGCATGAAGATGTTTGTTTTGAGCTGGAAATATATAAAAATAGGTCAAATAATAATAATATTTGCATTGTGACATTATTTTAAAGACAATTAAGCACATTTTTCTCACATTTATTTTGAGTATACATCAAGATGGTATGTCATATTACCGTTAATTTGATTTGAATAAAAACTGTATGACAGGCCGACAAACTATGTATATATATATATATATATATATATATATTGAGTTTGAGATGGAGCTGCTGGATTCAGGATAAATTGAGAATCACAATCTTTTTGTTTAAAACAGAGATCACGATCACCAAAATCACCAAATAACATGTAATTTACTAGAGGCTCTGACAAAATGTTAATTGCTGAAGTCTATTTACAATGTTTAATTAATTTGAATGAATTATTTTTTTTAAAAAAGGTTAAAAAAATTATACAATGACTGTATTCAATCATTACTGGATGAATCAGCATTTGTAAACAAATCTCTTAAAGGGGTGATGAACTGAGAAATCAAATTTTCCTTAAGCTTTTGCCATCTAAGAGGTCATCATATTATAAGAATATCCTGTAAGTTTTAGAACTGAAAACGTCCTTGTTTGTCCAATAAAAGCTCTTATTGACACCAGGCTCAGCAAACGACTCGTTTTTAAAAGTGGGGAACTATGACGTCAAAGAGGATACAACCCCACCCCCGCAGAAGAAGATCGACGCCCACTTCAACACAGCCGGTTTAGCCCCGCCCATCGATTCGCGCATAGCTAAATACGCCGAGCTACCGAGCGAGCAATACTAAATATTTTGCAGTGCCTCTGGTTGTGAAAGCTTCCTCTGGATTACAATAGGACTGCATGGAGAAACTTTATTTTTAATGACGTTCCAGCTGATGAGGTAAAACATCGTCGTCTGTTCGCTTCATTTCACTGAGGATTGTCCTGTAAACAAGACTGGATTTGCAGAGCGATTAAGAGTAAAGAACGGTGCTGTGCCGTCTATATTGGATCTGACAGGAATTTTACAACATAAGGACTCTGGGTCGAACATGTATGGGCGAATCATTCCGGTCGCCATTATACAACATTGTGTGTGTGTGTGTGTGTTTCTTTCAATAAATCAGTTCAAAAGAAATAAAAGCATATTAAATCTTTAATGTCGTATATGACAAAAAATAATTCATTAGGTGCTGTGATTCATCACTGTGATTTTACTCAGTTATATACTGTAATTTTATTCATTGTATTTAATGCAAATTTATGTGTTGACATCCGAATTGTAAACTTACTATATTTACATACATATATTTAATATAATGTATAAATATTTGCAATAAAGCTACTCATAACTGAAAGTATTTTTCTGTCTGTGTGTGTGGATTGTGTTTGAGAAATTACAGTTTCTTTGAAGTTTCCCAACTCTGTAATCAGTGGTGGAACGTAACGAAATACAAATACTTTGTTACTTTACTTAAGTACATTTTTCACGTATCTTTACTTTACTTAAGTAGAATAAATAGTGCATACTTTTTACTTTTACTTCGTTACATTTTGCAGCAATTATTCTACTTTCTACTCCACTACATTTCTACAACTTCTGTTACATTTTCTGATCAGTTTTTCCCCTGCCAAAACGTAATCTGACCGTCCGTTCGTTGCACGTTTGTCTCACCAGTGACGTTTGGTTGCCATAGATACATCAACTAAATGCGTCTCGCACGCAGTGTTTATCGTGCAATTTATACGCGAAAATTTGTTTTTACGTGCATAGGAAACACACCGTGTGTAATATACGTTTGGTTAGGGTTATGGCAAGCCAAGAGGTTCAGAATTACACCATAAATTAATCGCGTTTATTGCCAAACATAGTTATTAACATAAGGACGTTTTCAAAACAATTTCCACAAAGTGCATCGACGGGACTCATTATAATAATATGCAAAATTGCTATCCACTTACAGGAGTGGGCGTTTACTTCCAAGTCTTCAGTGCGAGACGCTAGGGCTGCACGATTATGACAAAAATCATAATTGTTGATTATTGCCTTGAAATTATAATTGCGATTATTAATTACGATTGTTTTGAATACGATGTTTTGAACAGCTTTATGCCATTGTTCGAAGTGACTGCATGCAAATTGTTATATCAAAATAAAACGGCTGAAAACTCCTGAAAAACGTTCAATGCTTTTATGGTTTAAAGTAACACCAAGTAACTTTTCCTCTTCGGTCGCCCTACTGGTTGGAAACGAAATTGTCCATTGCCGCTGTCGTAAATAATTTAGCAAATAAGTGAATTCGTAAATAAGTGGACTTTTTGTAATTGTGCCTTTGAACGATTACATAATGGTGGCATCCATAATTGTAATCACGATTACAAATTCGATTAAATGTGCAGCCCTACGAGACGCCCATAAAAACCCAGCGTTTTTCAGGTAGGCTAAAAACTTGGGTACAAAATAGCCTATTACTTATTCATTTGGATGTTTTTGAATGCAAAAACCAAGCGAAGTTTGGTGACAAACTTCTTTTACTGAATAATCGTGCAGCTCTAGTTTAAAACAAACTCGCGATCTCGTCTGAAACATGCAGAAGTCTTTCTCTCATTTGCTCTCCCTGCGTCTTTCAAACAATTCAATTGCGATATTCTTTCCAATGGTAAGAACTTCAAACGAGCCTCGAACTGATTGAACTTCCCGAACATGTCTCTTTATTGATATTTAATTTCCCACTGATGTGGCATCTTTCATCAAATCACGGTTGTAATAACAGCCTGGAAAGCACATCTAATGTTGCCAATAGACTTTGCCGTAGCCAAAACACAATATTCACCAATTTGTCTGATTACTTCAGCCCACTTAGCTCCACTATCTGGCTTGGCTCTTGAGAGGTTAGCTGTGGTTCATCCGTCACTGGGATCAGGGTAACCCACACGCAGTAGTAATACTGGAAGTATGCGTGCTGATTGTGAGCCACTGGTTCATGCGTGTGCCAGAAGATCTCCAGCCAGAAACGCTCTCACTTTCCATCTACGCTGCTGTTTGGTTTGGGGTTTAGTTAAATGACCAAGAAATGTTTCCCCACATTGGTGAAAGCATTCGGTTTGGCTTCTATTGAATATGTTGGAACAATTTATCGATGTACCTCGAGGCTCGCTGAGTCAGACGAGGGTGTTCTGTCTCTAAAATACTGATGAACGCATGCTGTGAACAAGATATTCTAGTATAATGACAACTGTGAAAGATGTGACATTTAAACATGTCGTCTGCTAATCATTTTAGCTATAAAACACTGATTAAAAAGATTCTGTGGGGAAGTAAATTTTACAGAAAAAAAAATACCTGAATAAGTTAGTTCAGGCAATAATTTAAAAAAAACAACAAAGTAAATATTATTTTAGTACGCGTTAATATCAACATTCTACTCAACTTTCTGATTCTGGTATTCCCATCATGCACTGGGGCAGGAATAATTAATAAGGCTGCATTTTCATTGTTTTCCAGCTGTATTTACACTGTTGTCATTGCTTTTGTTGTTAGGTTTAGTAACTTGCTGGTGCTTGAAACAGAGTAAACTTTAACCAAATAGAAATAACCCGACAACCTTTAATTGGCCAAGTTACTTATTTTTCTTTTTATTAATTTTATTAAATTGACTTATATATCTGCGTACAAAAACTTGTTTTGTTAATGTTACGAAAAATCTGAAGAAAATTAAAAAATATTTAGAATATCTAAATATTAATGTGGCTTCTTGGCAACTATTTTAAGTAAAAAAAAAAAAAGTTTAATTTGAAGAACTAAAATTACTTAAACTAATCTACAAAAACATTATCTAAGATATTAAAAAATATATAAATATTTCTAGACGTTCCGTTATATTTCTTACGATGACGATCCCTCTGCAACTTTAAATGGACCAATAAATGTTCTCACCTGGTATCTGGTATCCCATAATGAATCGGTTGTATCCATGGAAACAGTGTGGCCTATGGCAGTGTCTCAAATTATGCCAGTAGCCAGAGTAATAGGCCACATCAACAGGATGAAAATGAACCCCAATACCAATGAGACAAAGCATGAGCCAGCCTGTCATGATTTACAAGATATTTAATCATAAATGTGTGAGTGGAAAAGCAGCAGATGTCTCATGAACGTTCAAGCCGTCTGAGAGGGAAGGACTGAAACACACGCTTTTATTCCCTCCTTCCCTGTGAAATACCTTTCATCTGACTCTCGCTCACTCTCTCTCTCTTTCCTTCTTTATACAGTCAGCATCTCTTGCTCATGTATTTCACATCAGGAGTTTTTGGAGTGGCATACACTGGTTATATATGAAGAGTTCAGATGCAAAAGCCTCTAAATGCCATTTGAAATTTTCTTCTTTAATGATGATTTTTATCAAACTTGTATATTTAAGTTCAGTAATTTCACTTAAATAACAATTAAAAGGTAATTATCATTGCCATTTAAGTGAAATCACTGAACTTAAATATACAAGTTTGATAAAAATCATCATTAAAGAAGAAAATTTCAAATGGCATTTAGAGGCTTTTGCATCTGAACTCTTCATATAAGGATTATGATGTCCGACTTCTGATTGGTCAATCTGTGGCCCAATATTTTCCTGATCATCCTCTTTCTTTACATAATACAAATGAATAAATTACGGTATTATCTGAACACATTGTCATATAAACCTGTGCATGAAGCCTGCAGTGCTCATGTCAAAGGCGTTCACATACATATAAAATATGTGAAGCAGGAATTGGTTTAGTATGAAAGAGTTATAAGATCTAAACCATCTGTAGGATGAATACAATTTATATCTGAAACATCAGAAAGATGAATAAATCCCTAAGTGGCATGTTTTAGTGGATATGAAGAACCAGAAAGAGAAACTGTCTCCTGAGGCCAAACACATTTCAGTTACACACACACACAAATTCCAGTGTATATGGAGACTTTAAGAGCCACAGTGATTAGACTGTGGCATAAAATAACAGGAAAAAAATAATGTATCTATAAAAATATTGTAATGTAAAAAATAAATAATCTATCTTTTCATCCATCCATCCATCCATCCAGTCAATCAAGTCAAAATGGCATAGGTTTCAGATGTAAGGTTTGGGATCTGTTTAAATGCACACAGTTAAATGAACATGAACAAAAAAAAAATCAGGAAAATCAGACAATGGACATAACGTCCAATAAATCAAGTTTTGCAATGATCAACAAAGAGGGTCTCTGTACTTTGCACATGTGTCTCTTCAAACGTTTAATAAATAGGCTTGTTAGTATGCATTTTTTATAATAATAGTGAATGTCCTCCATTTCGGTAAAATCAGAGTTCTAGATTTCCGCATGAGATTCTAAATTAGAATTCCGAGCTTCTGAATTTCCGAGTTGAATGGAACACAGTGCACACAGGAGCTGCGTCCGAAATCGAATACTTCCCTACTATATAGTATGCGAAAAACGAAATCCGAAGTCCGAAATCATCCAATTCGTCATCGTCATTCGCCATCCAATTCGATTTGGTGGCTCTGAATTGACAAAACACCATTCAAACTGCTTGCTTCGGATGCGAAAAACGCATTAAAATTGAACCCGATCCGATTTATTTTTGGACGGATGAAATTTTCGGAGGCAGAGTGTAATGGTGCGTTCTATTATTCATCCGTCTCGGAGATCCGAATCGGACGACAGACGTTGCCTAGCAACACGCCCCCTTTACGCGGATTTCTCCTCTCGGACGTCGGACAACCGTGAGACCACCGAGCAAGAATTCCGTTTCGGAATTCAAGACGGCTGCGCCCTGTGACTTGCAAGAATGAATTGTTTTCATTGTTTTTGAACCGCTTTGGTATTTTAAATGACGATATAATCACTCGTATTACTGCGTCTCCTGGAGGAATGGGAATCGGTTGTTGTGAGTGCTATTACTAACGTTGCTAGCGTTGCTAACAGAAGATTAACATGAAAAACATTAAATAAAGTGAACATTTTCAAGTTCAAATGGCTGCGTTTTGATAAGGTGTAGTCATAATATTTTTTTTTTTAAATGTCGGCCAGTGCTACCATGACAACAGCTTTCTCCAACTCGGACACGCAAAACATAATAGAACGCTTGAAGTGTGGACGTGACGTCAAATCCGAGGTCCGAGTCGGTTCGTTGGCTATAATAGAACGCACCAAAAGCGTTACAGCCAGACCGATTTATCGGCAGGCCGATATTATCGGCCGATATTAGGCATTTGTGTTTTCCGAACTATTGGTATTGGCAGTTATAATGGCCGATAAATGAATATTTCAAAAATAACAAATAATAAATTTTAATAAATTAAAAAAACGAACGAAACACCCTTCAACCATGTCATTAGTGTTGGAATTGTATAGTTTGTCCACCAGAGGGCACAAGTTTCCTTTTAAAATTTATTATCATATTATTTTAGTTAAAACTCATAAAGAACTACAAATATCTAATGTTAGAGAAATGTGTTAATGTTTTGTTGCGTGTTTGTGAAAAAAAATAAAATAAATAAAAATAAATATCGGCCGATTTATCGGAATATCGGATTTTTATACCAACAAATATTTGTATCATTATCGGCCTTCAAAATCCTTTATCGGTTGGGCTCTAGTGAGCGTGATTGGTCGTATTCGAAAATTTCAGACACAAATTTCGGACTCAGTGTGCAAGTCCCTTTAGGCTGGAATGACAAGACCAGCTTTAGATAAGCAGCTTTGCTGAATCAGCATGAGAGGACAGACGGGACTCACCCTGACATGTCCTGCCGTCCTCCTTGAGCTCTTGACCGGCGGGACACTTACAGTAGAAGCTGCCGATAGTGTTACAGCACATCGCTTCACAGCCTCCATTGGTCTCCTCACACTCGTTCACGTCTGACAGTGGGAGAGAACAAACACACATTACAGTCTGAAATACAGATGCAGACCGATTACAGATTTGGACAATCTTCTCCAGATGTTTACGAATTGGAGACATGATATGACTGACTGAGCGGCTGTATTTGTTGCCGTGAAAAACAAACAACACTTATTAAGTGGGAAAGGGCTTTGCGATTTGAACTAGATTTGACAAAAATTCAGAGGTATATTTTTACAGACTCCTATAGAAAGAGGAGCAAATGGATCGCTGCAATTCACAGAAACGACTGGACTCAGTCAGAGAAAGGTGGATTTGCAGTTTTGCGTCAATATGCTGCATTTAGGTGTAAAACCATACCCATATATTTAGTATTGTTATATACATTAACAAACTAATCAATTAAATATTTATCATTGCATATTCGTTATTGGATGTTTTTTAATAAATGGCTGGACGATATGATGATATATAGGCTATATATAACACTGATAGTGATCACCCGGATTTAGACCGACCTATATTGTGTTTATATAAAGCGTTCACAGGCAAATTCGCTTTATGTTTAGGTCTATATTGCTATTTCCCCGGTGTCGAAATCAGGCAAACATAAATGTCAGGCAACACGATTCCTGGCTGCATGTCAATATACATGGATCACTGGATCTTTAGTAAGTTGTAAGGAACACTATATTGAGTCCAACATTTAGTTTAAATTGATCAAATTGTTCGTTTTAGTCACATTTTCGCAGTTTTCCCTATTAAATCCAGTCCCGCAGCAGATCTTTTACCACTCAGTCAGGCTGAAGAGCACTTTGAAAGTGACATCAATGCATTGCAAAAAAAAAAAAAAAATGTCTTCGAAATCTAGAATTATTTGTAATAACAGTTACAATCTTTTTATATAAGGGCTGGATACATAAGAGACTCACTGCAGGTCATCTGAGGTCTCAACAAGCGCTTATTGGTGGAAAACCATTGCCAAATTAAAACATAATATCTTATTTCCATGCACAGTTTTCCATCTCAAAATCTAATATAGTCTTAATAAAAAGAGATTTTGCCCAAGTAAATCATGTGTGTAATTAAAGGCACATTTAGCAGTTCCTCAATGTAACTGAATTTGACAATGATGTTTTTTTGATTGTTGAGTTGAAGCTACTGAAACTGGACCATCGGTTGAGTTTTCATTAGAAAGTGCTCATGAGAAATATTTCAGTTTCCATATCTGATGCTTGTAATGTCAGACGGTTTGATGGATTTTGGGTATGAGAAAACACAAGTACTGTATGATTCTCCTTCAAAATGTGGTCCAAAAAAAGTAGTAAGAGCAGAAAGTGCTTTCGATCCATGTTCAACGAAACCGCTTCTTTTTTCCAGTGGACACAAATCATCTCAATGGGATGGCGATGGATGTTTCCGCATTTAAGAGGCACAGTCTCTTCCTCAAACCACGTAAGTTCATCAAAGAAGGGGAACAAAATGACATTAAAGCTTTTACCATTCCTTCAGATGTTGAACAACCTCCCGTCACACATCCAGCTCTCACACTCAAACACATGGAGATGTTTATGAGAAAATCAGTTTGTCGGTTTCCCAAAACATTATTTCAATAAAACCCTCGCCTCAACAAATTGGCCCCTGAAGAGCCGAGCGATGTGTTCAGGAGGGGGGAATTAAACATAATGAATGAATGAGAGGAATTCCTGCCGGACGGGATCACACCGTCACACACGTACACGACACAACAGTGAAAGCTAGCTGCTCAATATGGTACAGTTTGATGTGCAAAGGTAGAAATACAATGCTTTACAATTCAAATTCAATATAGAAGGTAATGCATTAATAAAGACGAGGCTATGGTCCAAACCAAACCTCTAATATTAAACCTCGTACCTTCAAAATCGCTACTTGTCAGGAAATTAAAAAAATAATAATAATGAAACAATCACTCTTTATTAGAAATAAACTACTGAAAAAACAGTATTGTTCATTTAAAATGATAATTACTAAACTTAATGATTATTAATGAGAACAAAACACATTATTGCATTTAAAAAAATAACTTTTTCTTTGCATTTTTTTAGGAATATCGTTGGCTCTTTGATGAATTGCTTTTCTTCCTGTTTTGTTTAAATCGCTTTGGACACATGTGTCAGCATAATGCATACAAATATATGTACAATATTTCAACAAAATGTTTTTTAATTATTATTAATATTAACTTAATTGATAACTTAATTTTAATAAAATTTAGAAATAAATATAAACGATTAACAAATCTACTGTATTTATTGGTTAATGTAACTATTGCATTGCTAATGTCTACAACAAATATTGTAAAGTGTTAAAGCTTCAGCTATCAATCCTGCAAAACATAAATTATGTACGATCCTTTCCATTATATGCAACCACGAGAATAAAATGATTGACAGATCAGTAGTTACGTCAACCTTCACATATATTCATCTACATCCTGACTGTAACATCAACAAGGACATGGAGACGAACAACATTCCTACACCGAGAGGTCGTGACCCCTTTCATGACCCGAGGGCGACCTGCCACCGGGAGACGGTGTGCGGGGTCAGTGAGGTCAGGGGTCATGTCCACATAATGAACTGTGTAACGCACTGAAAATGAACTAATTAATCCCCAAAAATTGGAAACTTACTCAAATTAAAGCACAAAAACAGTTCATTTAGAAACCATCACAGTATCCGTCTCAGTACACTCTAAAAAATGTTGGGTTGTTTTAACCCAACTTTGGGTCAAATATGGACTAACCCAGCCGTTGGGTTAAATTTTTACATTACATTTTTAACCCAACATTTCAGGTTTGTCCATATTTGACCCAAAATTGGGTTAAAACAACCCAGCATTTTTTAGAGTGTATGTTCACTACATAATCATATGAATACATAATCATTGCTTCTAATAGAGAGTGTCCCCTTTTTGTCCATTCATTTTTCCCATAGGGGAAGTTTCCATTAAAGCATTATAAGCCATGAGCCAAGCCAATCAGCTACGAGGAAAATCACAACATATATATATATATATATATATATATACACGCACATTTGAATTTTATAGCTACCTATAGTATATAAACAAATATTTCATTATTTTGAGAGCATAGAGAGCTCGACTCGACTCTCTGATTGGTGTATTTTTTGCACAGCATCATGGGTAATGTAGTTTTTCACCAGGAATTCCACCATTAAACACAATCAAATTTAAAACTAAGTTGAAAAAATGCGGGCTGAAGAATTCAACAGAAGCAAATCCCATCGATTACCAGGTTAACAAGTTTAAAGGTTAACAAGTTGTCGCTCACCGTATGGAGTTAATGAATAGAGTTTTTACTTCCGGAAACCGGCAGTTGCAAAGAGGTTAGCCAATCACAACAGAGATCATTTATATATTGAATATACTTGCCTGCCTAATTCTGAGGCTCAGAGAGGGTGAAAACGCTCATGAAAAACTAAATCATGACAAGAAACATTAAAGTTTTTGTTATAATTAAAATGAATTAAATGTAATTGCATTTTAAGCGTAACTTTTCTCACAATCTGCGTTTTCATTGCATTACATTTAAGTGTATTTCCTTTCATTTGTACATTTCTCTGTTGTATTTTAAATCTTTTTTAATCAGTTTTTCCTTTTGCCGTTCTGGGTTTTGCACAATGTGAATTGTCTTAACAGAAAACTGGCAGGGAATTTGATGTTGTGGGTTCAGTGATGTTGGCGGGTTCAGACACGAAAAGATCTCTGACATCACAAACACAAACCAGAAACAAAGAGCCAGCTGATGTTGAAATTGATTTTCATCAAAATCTTACTCGAAAAACACATCAATTATCTTTATGTTCATGTTTCATAGCGACAGACTGTTGTGAAGTGTGTGTTTAAGCAAAAAACTTACATGGAAGCCAAGCTGGAAGAGTAAACAATGACCATTTTAACTATATATTTAAACATTTGCAAACTCTGCAGGAAAAGAATTCCTAAGTTCAAGTTATAAATCTATTACCCCGAACACACACAGACGTGCAAATATGCACACATAACACACACATAAAACATGATATATGTTTTACAGCCCATCACATCCAGTGCTTGAGAAAATCTGTTTAACCTCTGGTCGGGTCCTTTGCCATATGTTCAGATCTATGCGAGCCACTACATCTATGCCAAAAGTACAGCATTTCTGCTATTCTCGTGTTTTCAAACATGCTTACACTTATACACTGTTTCTGAAGAATGAATATCCAAATAAAAACTATGTAAAACATGTGTGTTGACATTCCATCAGACCACCAGCAATCGCTCAGAGCCGTCTGTGTCAAACTGAGAGATTTGTGTGTTTGCATTCCAGATGTGCATCGAGTGACTTCCGCTCATGGAGTCTGAAGTGTGTTTCTGTGTAGACGGGGGTCCGGAGCGTAGCTGATGGATCCTACGGGTCAGACGGAGCCAGAGAAAAGCGTCCGGATAGGACCACAGGGTCACCAAAACGCATACAGTGATGTGAATAAGTTTGGACACCCATGCTAAAGTTGCCTAAAAAGAGGCATAAAAAATCATCTTTTGGATATTGATCTTAATGGCTTAATTAGAAAAATTAGGAAAAATCAAACCTTTTAAGGACACCAATTTTCTTTGTGAATGAATAATGTATCATAAATAAATAAATTCCATAAATTCCCATAGAGTCAGGCAGATTTTTATTTTTAAAAGCCAGTTATTTCATGGATCCAGGATAATATGCATCCTGATAAAGTTCCCTTGGCCTTTGGGATTAAAATATCCCCACATCATCACACACCTTCCACCACACCTAGAGATTGGCATGGTTTTACTTCAGTTAGCCTAATAGCTGGTTTGATTTGCATTGAAAGATGATCTTATGGAAAGTACCCCATGCCAATCTCTAGGTGTGGTAGAAGGTGTGTGATGATGTGGGGATATTTTAATCCCAAAGGCCAAGGGAACTTTATCAGGATGCATATTATCC